AAATAAACGTTGAAAAAAAAAAAAAATTTAAAAAAAAATAAAATGGTTAGTCTGGAACATTAGCTGTGACTAGTGACCCTTTCCTTGAGAAATGCTTCTTTTAGCGGTCTCTTGGTGTATGTTTTTAAGAAAAGTCACCCTTTCCACTTCGCCTTGGCCGTGCTGGGGTAACTAAGCACATGGGACCGCTAAGTCTGGTGTCTCAGAGGTTTCCTTAGCTGAATTATGGTTTGTTTTGTTTGGGGTTTATTTCCCAGAGAGAGTGGTGGGCTCCAGGGGGGGCAGAGAGAAGGGGACAGAGGATCCGAAGTGGGCTCTGTGCCAACAGCAGCGAGCCTAGTGCAGGGCTCGAACTCAAACTGCGAGATCATGACCTGAGCCGAAGTCAGACAGTCAACTGACTGAGCCACCCAGGCACCCCTGCATCATGCTTATTTCAAAGGCAGAGCTGCACCAGGAATGACTAAGCCTTAGTCTGCATTCATCTGCATTATAGCCACACAACTGGACACCTAGTATCCCCTTATGTCCAATTCCAATCAAATGGGAGAATGAACAAAGCTAACTTACTTAGATGGTGTTCCCTGGAGCAGAGAAATAGCTGGTCCATGCCTCATGAGGCAGCATGCAGCCTTTGGCCTCTTTCCCCAAACAAACTAACAGAGGGGCATACAATGCCGGTAATTCACAATAGCAGAATACAGTAGGATCCGGGATGGTAGAATCCGGGATGGGAGTGGGAGTGGAGTATTAGAAAATAGATCCACGTACTGAGAAATCTAAATTACGTCAGGAAAGGAGAACTTAAGGGATGATGCCTCCAGGCAGCCTGCCTAGGCTCAGGGGCCCGGTTATGAAGGCATTCACAAAGAGGATGGTGTGTGGCTGGCTTAAAGGGCAAGCTTAGGCTAAAATACTTAGAATTGTTTCAGGCAGTTTTGTACTAAGAGCTACCTCATCCATCCTGACATTTTGGGAAATACAGACGAAATACAGCAGGGCTCTTAGCCGGAAAAATAGTAAGATGTAAAGCCAAGTAAACTGAAGCTTAAAAGGTTCCACAAATACACACAGAAGAACCTTGACAGCTAAGCTACTTGAGGGGAAGCTTTGCGAAACAACTCAAGGTAAAAACAGCCAGCTGGGAGGCCAAGGCAGTCCAGTCGCCTGGTGGAGGGTAGCAGGATTTGAAGGTGGTCCAGCCTGGCCTGCAAAACTCACAGGAAAGGGGGCATTACCCATGGCTTCACCTTCCCCCTCTGCACACAGAACTGTCACCCTTAGCTCTCTAGACAACAGGCTGCTTCCTACTAAGTCAAACAGAATACTCCTATTGATACACTAGAAAATGAAAACATACAATTTATAATTAGGGTCTCTCCCAGTGAGCGGAGACTGCAGGCCTAGACAGGTGGTCTGGCCGTCCACCCTCCAATGAAAGTGCCTTGGGAAGAGCCAAGAGAGCTCTCTGCTAAGCACCACTGTCAGCTAAAAGGGAAAGAAATCCCTTTTAAGGAAGCTATTTAACTTCAATAGCCTGCTTTTCTGCCAGGATTTTCAATTCCTCTGAACATAAGCCGAACCACAGACTGCTACACGTATGTCTGGATCTTGGCTTCCCCCCCCCCCCCCCGCCCCGTTCTCAGAGCTTCAGCACCAGTTGTTAGCCAAAAATAAACACCATTCCTCAACCATATATGTCCACCAGCCCAGAGCGGGGGAGGAGGAGCAGGAGGTAGGGCAGGTCCCCAGGCTCCGGCCACACACTGTGGCTGCTGCACGCCATGCATCTCACCCAGCTCAACCGGGAGTGCCTGCTGCACCTCTTCTCCTTCCTGGACAAGGACAGCAGGAAGAACCTTGCCAGGACCTGCCCCCAGCTCCAGGACGTGTTTGAGGACCCCACACTCTGGCCCCTGCTGCACTTTCACTCCCTCGTAGAACTCAAGAAGGACAACTTCCTGCTGAGCCCAGCCCTCAGGAGCCTCTCCATCTGCTGGTACTCTAGTCGCGTGCAGGTGTGCAGTATTGAGGACTGGCTCAAGAGCGCCTTCCAGAGGACCATCTGCAGCCGGCATGAGAGTCTGGTCAATGATTTCCTCTTCCAGGTGTGCGACAGGTAGGCCACCTCCTGAGCAGAGCTGGCTTTGGTGGGGTCTGGATTCTAGAGCTCTAGGAGACTTCTGGGGGACAGGGAAGAACAAACCACAAGACCAAGATAGCTCCATTTGGGGGAGAATCTAACTAGGCCCAAGGCAGAATGTCCCGGCCTGTCCACAGCACAGTCCCCAGACGATGATGAGTACAGTCGTGGGGATTCTCTTCCTCTTAGCCTCACAGGTCCTGGAGCTGCTTCCGCCACAAGGAGGAAGCATTCGGGCAGCTGTCCGCCCTGGCAGCCATTAAGACCTCAGGGGGTCTGGCTGGGCCTCTGTTTTCAAGGTCAGGCCCTGGGAAAGGTTCTTAGACTCAGCTATTAGCTTCCACCTCCACTCTTCCCCTAGCAAACAAACTCCAAGATTTGTGACATGCAACTAAGGAAGGAGAGCAAGGGTGCTCTGGGTTAGTCGAACCAAGCCAGACTGCAGGGGGAGGAGGGGTGGTGGTATTGAAGAATGGTTTCCTCATTAGAAATTTACTAATCTCACTGTACCCCTAGGGAAGGGTGTTTTGGCCTATTTTTACAAATGAGCAAATCAAAGCTCTGAGACATCATGTGATTTGCCCATAGCCTAGGATTACTGGATTTTAGGGAAAAAAAAAAAAAAATGCAAGACATCCAGTTAAATTTGAATTTTAGACAAAATTAATTTGTTTAAATGTTTATTCATTTTTTTGAGAGAGCGAGCTAGCGAGCATGAATGGGGGACGGGCAGAGAGACAGGAAGACACAGAATGCGAAGCAGGCTCCAGGCTCTGAGCTGTGAGCACAGAGCCCGAGGTGGGGCTGGAACTCAGGAACCACGAGATCATGACCTGAGCCAGTCGGAAGCTCAGCTGACTGAGCCACCCAGGCTGCCCCTAATTTTCTGATGTAAGTATGTCCCAAATACATCCTGTACTCATCCGTCAGGCCTACCATGGGTAGAGGCTGAGCCACAGGCAACCCTCCATGGTCTCACCCTCCTAAGGTAGCCCACACAAGCAGACTTCCGCTGCCAGCCTCTCTCTCAGCCTGTATTTACCAGTCCTGTCCTGACTTTGAGGAAGAGCACTCTTGGTTGGTAACACACTAGGCTCCGCCAGTTTGCTGCCACCCAGGTTTAAAAGGTGCTGTTTACTGGCAGCATGACAGGAATGAAAGCAAACAGTGTGGTGGCCCCGCCCTGCCTTTTTTTTAAGGCAGCAGGAAGAAAAGCCCATCTTGGCTAGGCCCTGCCGGGATGAGGCCATCTTGATGGGTTTAACAAGGCCCGGAAATCAGACTGGAGCGACATATACGGGAGGGTCACGCCTGCTCTCAAGTTGTTCCATTCTTGCTGTAAGAGAGCTGACAAGGTACGGATTAGGCCCCTCGTGGCACCATGTGGGTGCAGCAAGGGGCCCCAGTGACACAAAAAGAACAAAGGGCTTGGTGGTCAGGGTTCAGTGCGGAGTCTCCCAGCTCTGCTCCTGTCCAACCATGGGAGCCCAGCCCAAACATTTACACTCTTTCAACCTACTTTCTTGATCTTTAAAATGGGATAAGTCACCTTTCTCACAGGCTAAGAGGATTAAATGACACAGTAGCACTGGCACACAGTGGATACTAATATCCACCAAATCCGGTTCTTTAAGCAATCGGCTCTTGGCAGGGAGAGACGGGAAAACAGGGAAGGATGGCAGGGAAGGAGTCTGTTTTCTCTGTTTTGTTCCTACAAGCAAGATTATTCTAAAGGTTCTTACAACAAAAGGGACCACTCACCATCTTTGTGGCTTAAACACTTAATCATCATAACCACCCTGAAGGTAATAATTTCTCCCGCTTGACAGATAAGGAGGACTAGCACAGCTCAGGCATTTGTCCTTGGTCAGAGCGCAATTAAGTTGCAGGCAAGTTACCTGAGCCCTCATTCACACAACAGGGTGTAGACAGAGGACTGGATATGAAGACTAAAGAAGCCATGTGAACTTGGGGAGGTGGAATGGGCTCAGCACCTGAAATGAGGTGGTGCCCAGTCTGGTACAGTCAGGGGGTTAAGGGAGAAGCTTATCGGGAAAGGGAAAGCCCCAGTCTAGACGCCAGCTCCTTCTGGCTACAGGGAGCCAAGGCCCCTGCCCACGAGACCGGTCCTTCTTGACTGCAAAGCTGTCTGGTTCTGTGTGCTCCCAGAAAAAGTGAGTTACAATTGCCTACAAAAGGCCCTAAGGCTCTTTACACCCCCCATCTCAATCTTCACTACAACCCCACCGGTAGGCATTATTCCCTCCCTGCTGTGCTGGCCCCACTTCCCCCAAGAAACTAAAGCTCAGTGAGTGGTTTAGCAAAGGTCACACCGCAAATAAGCCAAATCTAACTTCTGCTCAAGATTCTTCTCAGCAGCAGGTGCTGGTTAGGTTGGGGCAGAGGAGCCTCCAAACTGTGTAGAAGTGGCCCTGACTATACCCACTTCACTCTGGTTCCTGACCTTTTCTAGGCTGGCATCCCAGTGGGCATGCAATAACTGTCTCAGTTAACTGAGCTGAAACCCGGGCTCTAGAACCCAGAGCCAGGCATACTGGAAGAAATGTCCCGACCCCAGATTCACGGGTTGAATGTGCCTGTCTCTAAGCCACCCTACAGGAAACCCTTGTTCCCACCTGACCATCCTCCTAGGAGCATCAAGGCCTAAGTTTGAAGCTAGACTCGATTGGTCACCCAGCATCTCTTCTCTCACCCCAAAGCAAACAAGTCCGGAGAGAGCCCAAGAACATCCAGAGTTGTCCACCTACAGCAGGACCAGGGGCGGCTCACGAGGCTGAAAGCCACACAGATTAAAGTTTGGTGGAATGGAGAGGCAGAAAGTAGGGGAAATGGGACAGAAGCCTTGGTTTTGATCCTGGCCGCGGCATCGCAGGCCAAGTTCCTTAAACTTGCTGAGTCCCTTTCCCCGTTTCCGTGCCCACAATATGCAGAGAGTCCCAGCGTTGTTAGGGGGCAACCTGGCCTGGGAACTCCAGGACCGGGCGCGGCCCAGGGCAGACGCAAATCGCGACCCCGCGGGCCCCTCCCGGGGTCACTACGATCTCTCCGCAGGTGCCCCAACCTCGAGTCCGTCACGCTTTCAGGATGCGGCCATGTCACCGACGACTGCCTCGTGCGCCTACTGCGCTGCTGCCAGCACTTGCGTGCGCTGCGCCTGGAGAACTGCGCGCGCGTCACCAACCGCACGCTTGCTGCTGTGGCGACGCACGGGCGCGCGCTGCAGACCCTGCACGTGGACTTTTGCCGCAACGTGAGCGCGGCCGGCCTGCGCCGCCTGAGCGCCGCGTGCCCGCGCCTGGCGCTGCGAGCCGAGCACAGCGCGACGATGATCCCCGACCAGCTCCCCAGGGCGCCCGGCACTGCCCTTCGTAAGCTACTGCCGCGCTAGGCAGACGGCGCCGAAGCACGACACGCGGCCAAGGGCCGCCGGGCGGAAGGAGCAACCTGGTTTCCAACCACAGCCCCTCCACCTCCCAGAGCGTTGTCACACCTCTGAAGCTCAGTTTCCCTGTCTGCAAAATTGGGACACTAATGCCTACCTCACATTAATGGCGGTTTTACGCACAGGAGTGCAAGATTAACCGGATGCTGGGAAAACACTCGGATAGTTCTCACTAAACACCAGCACATTTCCCGACGCCCTTCTGCCCCAGGTCCTCAACCACACACTGCCTGCAGCAGCGGGACAGGCCTGCACCACGCATGGACTACAATCCCCGGCGGGGGCCGAAATACCCGCACGGGAAGGCGTGGCCACCGGGAGCTCTCCGGCATCGCGCAAGCGCCCTAGGAACGGGGGTGGGGCGACCTCCGCAGCCGGCCTCTCGTCCCGCACTACGTCTGCGGCTCCGGCCTCCCAGGAGCGTGGCCTCCGTGCAGCGCGAGCGGGCGGGAGAAGCGGGGGACCCGGGACTCACAGCCGGAGAGAGCCACCGAACCCGCCACCGCGGCCCTGTCGCCCGCACCTTTGCTCGGTGGCCGGGCGAGCCCGCTTGCCTTTCCCCAGCAGAGACCGCACACAGAATTCTAGAAAATGCGCTGGTAGATGTGATTCTTTCATCAATAGCATATCCTTATTTTCTATGGTTATCTTATCACAAAGGCAGAAGAAATCGTTTGAAAAACCCTAAGTAAAGATTTGAAAACAAGAGCAGCAGCCCCGGTTAAGTCTCTTGATAAGGAAACCAATTAGAAGCTGATACAAAGTTAGATTTTTACATGCTGGACTTGCTCAACATGGGCACACGCCTTGACTTAACAATTTCAGGGCTTTAGTCACTGATGTCTCACCTTTAGCCACAAAGTATAGGCTCTCGTCCAGGCAGCAGCCTCCGGGTCCCAGGTACGCGGTGAAAACTTGGGTTAAGAGAGGAAGGCAGGGAGCCATGGGCCGGCGGGCAGGCGACGCTCACGCTCTGGCTCCGCCCACCACCAGCGGTTACCTATGGCCTTTAGGCACTTGAGGCCAGGTGTTACTTTTCTGGGAAAGAGGCTCTCCATCCCTACTCACGGTTGCCCAATATTGGGGAACCAGCGAGGAAATTCCATTCTCACGGAGCTTACCTTCTAGTAGAAGGGACACTAATTGGTATATAAAATGACAATAAAGCTACGGTGGCGGAAGGTGGGGAGGAAGCACCAGGGAAGGGGATGTCTGGCAACTGCTGGCGAAGGTTTGGGGAGAGGGAAGCTACTTAAAAGGGGTTGATCAATATAAGCCTGAGTGGCAGCATCTGAAACAAGAAGTGAGGGAGGGGGCCAAGCAATATCTGGCAGGAAAATATTCCAGGTGGAGGGAATAGCCGGTGCAAGGCTCCAGACCAAGAGCAGAGCCCGTGACTTAGGGGAGGCCCGGTGGTTAGCGTGGGCGAAGCAGAGTGAGTGAGGAGGAAAGGTGAGCAGAAAAGGAGATCAGAGAAATAGGGATGTGGGCGGCCGTTGGGGCCTCAGGGGTTATTGTGAACAGGAAATGAGAGCTGGAGGTCCCCCACCCAACCTACCCGCAGGAGCCAGGGCCCCAAGCACAGATGATATACATGTAGGTGACTCCCAGGAGCTGAAATTTCTCCAGGCAGAACCTGTGGGCAGGCAAGCAGCAACCCAGCCCATCCCAACCCCTCCAGGGACTGCCAAAAAGGCCTCAGCTGCGCCCAGGCCCCCAGGCCCCCTTGTCTCGCCAGCGCTTAGCCCAGAAACAGGTGGGTAATTGCACTGAGGCCACACCTGGCATAGTTCCTTCACACCCTTGTGTAGGGAGAGCCCGCTGCCTCAGGCCGCCAGCTACTCTGGAATGGGAGGGCCCCACTCCTCCGGGTGGGTAATTTTCCAGTTTACCCACCATAGCTCCGGACTCTAGAAGGAGGCCTTGCCGGCCCTTCCCCCACTCCTGCAAACAATGTTTAAAGAAAGCTCAGGCTTCCATGGGGTTAAATGTTTGTTTAAAATAGCACCACTTAAACCCTGGGCTTTGCTTTTATTATCTCTGATAAGCCTGAATTCTCAGCAGGTTCTGTTTGCCCTGAGTTGGGGGGTTTAGTCTGGGGAACAACAGAATCCTAGTTTCTGGCTCTCCTCTGACTGAGAGCAGTCAGCCTTCTCCAGACCTCACCTTTTTTTTTTTTTTAAGTTTATTTATTTTGAGAGAGAGAGAGAGAGAGAGACAGCTTGCATGAGCGAGGGAGGGGCGGGGTGGGGTGGGGTGGGAGAGACAATCCCAAGCAGGCTCTGAGATGTTGGCACAGAGTCCTACTCGGGCTCGATCTCATGAACTGTGAGACCATGACCTGAGCCAAATCAAGAGTTGGACGCTTAACTGACTGAGCCAGGCGGGTGCCCCTGGCCCTCAGCTTTTTAATCTGTGGATTGGGATTGCTAGAGAATCTTGCTTGCAGGGCTCTTCTAAGGATTAAGACATTATGTGTGTAAAGCAGAAGTCACTGCAAGTTCAGCTGGAATAGGGTAACCTGAGGCCCCCTTTCCCTCTCCCTATGGAAGCTCTTTTACAAATGAGGGTTAAATCCCCTGGCTAAGCTTGTGGTGCCCAGTAATCCCCCACATACTGAGGCTGTAGTGACCACAGAACTGAAGCCTTGCTGACAGCTGCATCCAACACTATTTCTCCAGCTTGAATCGGGCCCCGCCCCCTCCCCGGGCGTGAGGGCTACCTGAGGTACTGCCAGAAGGCAGCCACTGATGAGATGGCTCTCCAATCTGCCTTCTAACAGGTGCTGTTCACATCAGTGGGCACTGAGCAAAAAGCCCTTGACAGAACAGTCAGTCCCCTGCTTGATCAGTAACAATGTTCCAGGTCTTCTCTCAGATTTGCATAGAACAAGGGACTTCACATGCCTAATTAACCCACAGACTCAATCATCTGGGGTTGCGGGGAGTGTTGAGTGATCTGCAGCTCTGCCATCCATCACTTCTGACAAGTTATGACCTCTCTGAGCCTGTTTATCTCTACAATAGGACCAGTACCCTCTCTGTGACGCTCTGATGAGATCAGGTCTAAATGTGCAGTTGCCTGGAGGGCTGGGGTAGGGAGAGGCGTCCTCACATCCACATCTGTGGGGGCCTGGAAAAGCCAAGTGCCTGGCAGAACCCACAAGGCCTGGGCACCAGGAAGAAGCAAGCAGGGTCTATATAGGGGTGATCCAGGAACACTTGATGGAGGACATCACTTGATTTGAGCCACGCTGGAAGATTGACCCCAGCTCCCACGGGGTCTGTGTTCCATCAGCAGGCACAGTTCAGCAAGGGTGCAGCCAGAAAGCCCAAGGCATCCCCACAGATGCCAGGGGAGACGTGAGCCTGTGTTCCAAAGCCACTTGAAAATGGCTTGGAGGTTACGAGTGTCCTCACGGCTTCCATTAGAGCAGACTACAAACTCTCCAGCTCCTGAACGCACTCTTGACTCAGTTTTGGCCAAGGCAGCCAATGGCTACACAGAGGAAAAGCTAGGGGGAGGGCGCACAGCCTTGGCACGGGCACCCGGGCAGGACGGTGCTCCCCGGTGGAAGGCTGATGCCAGTCACCACACGGTGCCAGCTGGTCTGCACAGGAACCTCAGTACTAGCAGAACCTGGAGCCGCACGCTCTTAGGTCAGGGGCTCCAGGATGCTCCTTGGCAGGTGGAGGCTCCCGGTGGGGGTGCCATGAGGTTTGTGTTACAGGAACACACGGGCCCATTTCTGCACAGGTGGGATGACTGGCGAGAACTAAGCTCTCTGGGTTCTACCATCATCGGTGGGTGCGCTCACAGGAAGCCAGGGCTCCCAGCTCTAGCCTGTACACACTTGTGATCCAGCACTTTCCCTCTCCAGACCTCAGGTTATGGTCTGTAAAAGGAGAGGTCCCCTGACCCCTTAGCTCTAGGATTCCTCCAGCTGTAGGATACAATGCCCAAGACGTTTTTTCGGCTAAAAACCAAGTTCAACACATCTGACTAGCAGGGCTGGGCAAGGGCCACAGAGCTGGGAGGCCCAGAACAAAGCTGCCCTTTGAAAGGCCTCTGGGGAAATCTTAATTTTTAAAACTTTTTTTTTTTTTTAACGTTTATTTATTCGTGAGAGGGAGACAGAGTGTGAGCAAGGGAGGGGCAGAGATAGCGAGAGACACAGAATCCGAAGCAGGCTCCAGGCTCCGAGCTGTCAGCGCAGAGTGAACACAGGGCTCAAACCCACAAACCGTGAGATCATGACCTGAGCCTAAGTCGGTTGCTTCAACGACTGAGCCACCCAGGCACCCCAGGGGAAAATCTTAAATTTTAAAAGCTGGGGGTCCAAATTCTCTGGAGACTATGTCAGGGTCAAAAAAACTGCAAGTATTTAACTGAATGAATCCAGAAAATAAAAAACTGCCCAAGCCTCTACAGAGAGGCTGAAAGTGAACTAGGGGATAAACACCTGTGCTGGGCCCACTTCAGCCCCTCAGACCAGGGACTTCAACCTTCCTCTCTCTCTCAGGGCTTCTAAAAATCAGCAAATTACAAAAGGAAAAAAAAAAAGACAGGTTTCCAGCAAAGAAATGGCATCTGTTATAAAATCAAGGTGTCTATGCAGATTTTCCTTGCAGGGTCAGACCTCCTGAAAAGCCGTCCAGGAAGCCTGACAGGTGGCCCCTGGAACCATGAGCATCAGCCTGCTGAGGGCACCTTTGCCCTACAATCAAGAATCAAATGTGGCAGCAAAGGTCAGAGCCTTTCAAAGGTTGAGGCATTATTTTTATTTAAAATAAACCCTGAGGGGCGCCTAGGTGGCTCAGTCGGTTAAGTGTCCAACTTCAGCTCAGGTCATGATCTCACAGTCTGTGAGTTCGAGCCCCACGTCAGGCTCTGTGCTGACAGCTCAGAGCCTGGGGCCTGCTTCAGATTCTGTGTCTCCCTCTCTGCCCTTCTCCTGCTCATGCTCTATCTCTCTCCGTCTCAAAAATAACATTTAAAAAAAATTAAAATAAAATAAAATAAAATAAAATAAAATAAAATAAAATAAAATAAACCCTGAGACTGCAGATGTAGCCTTCAGCTGGGCACACTCTCAGCCCAGCTCAGAAAGAGGGAAGAGCCACTTGTTACCAGGAACCAGCCCAGGAGGCTCTGAGAGACCCATCTTCTGGCATTGTCCAAGACCTCAGGAGCACACAGAGGCCTCTCTCCTCTCAGTTCCCTCCTGGCCCAGAGGCCTAGGCAGTGTGTTTCCACCCCAGGCTGAGTGCTTTAGGCCCAGAGCCCTTCACCACTTCTGTTCCTGCTGACTGAGCTCTCACATCAAGTATTAAAGGTTCGTCTTTGCCCAGAACCCCTGTGGCTTCCCAGAAGCTGTAGTTTCTCCCTCTGAGACCCAATTCCAATTGAAGGCTTCTCTTCGACAAAACTAACGTGTCGTTGTGACACGTATTATTAGGCACGGTCACTGGGAAATATCTATGTAACACAAAACCGTATCTTTGTTCCAATTTCTCTTTGAAAACACTTATTTTCTACCTTCCTTCTGGAAAACAAGTGCCTGCAAAGCTCTCCATCTGGCACCTCATTTGACTGAACTGTCCTCGGTCCATGAAGTACTGCAGCAACTTGTGGCACGAACTGGCTGTAGATGAAGACAAACCACCCAAAGGCCTTGCCCTCTTCCTGTTCCCACTCCCGGCAGCCAGAACCTTCATAGCTGCTCTGGAGATGGCCCCCTCTCCCAGAACCACCCGCTCATTCTGACATGCCCACGAGTGTAACCCCTTCCCCAGCCCATGCACAACTTCCCACCATCCACCATTCAAGGATACGAAAGCCACTCACTGGTTCTCATATTATTCGCACATTCACCCGCTCATTCTCGTGGTCACTCATTCGTGCGTGCGGAGTGCCTACTAGCAATGGCGGTCCGACTGCACGACCGTGAACCGCCAGGCTCTCTAAGCCCCCACGTACTCCTCACAAGCAAGGTTAAATCGTGTTACTCTCGTTAGCTTCCTCCTTGCTTAGGAGAGCCACTCCCCACTGGGGCTATTCCGGAAAGGCTCTTGTTAGCATGTTACACTCAAACCAGCTTCAGAGGAGGAGGAAGGGGGTTGCTGAGAGGACAGGCCAACGGGCTGACCCAAAGGCCCCGGGTGATGGGTGAGGGGACGAAGTAAGGCAGCCAGGATGATAGAATAAATGAAAGTAGGGGCTTCCCACTCCCAGGGGCTGCTCTGTCATCTCCAAGCCAAGCTCACTCAGTGTGAACGAGTGTTTCTGACGGGTCAAAATGCCGTCACAGTGAGACTAGCCCCAGAGCTTGTCCTTTCTCAGTCAGAGGCTCCACTGGAGGTAACAAAAGCAGCCCACGCTCTGGTTCCTGCATCGGCTTTATTTCTCTGCATAAGGAACCCTGCACAGGCAATTCAAATTAAAACAAAATAAATATATGAATATTCATGTAAAACTGTCCTTTCTAATGAACAATTATACACAATGTACAATTTCATGTTCACTGGGTGGGTTTACAAAAATGTACCATTCCCAACTAAAAATGCACCAAAATGGTTCCATGCAAACTTATCAAAAGTGACCAAAAATGTGGAGGGAAAAACCTGACTGAGAGCACTTTGTCTTTTTTTTTTTTTTGTACAATCACAGAAAAATAAAAACATCTAATTTCTTTGTTACATTTAGAGTAACTAAATGTGGCCACTGTTTGTAATGTCGGTTTATGTTCCTAAAACATCTATGTAGTTACCATAAAAGTGTATCCACGTGAAACTGGAAGTGAGCATCACTGAGAAAAGGGGCTGGTGGCCCCCCCGCGCGGTCAGTAGTCGGTGTCGGAGCCCTCGGCGTTGTCCACGTTCCGCGAGAGCATGTAGTTGTCCATGTCGATGGAGCGGCAGTTGTTGATGGCATAGCGCAGGCGCTCGGCCATGACCAGCTGGCTGGAGTAGGGGGGCAGCCGCAGCTGGAAGAAGCAGGTCTGTGAGGTAGGCAGACTGTCATAAGGCTGTGGAGAGAGAGACCCGGAGCCGTGACTGCAGCATCGGGGTGTCACGGGGTACCTGTGACTGCTGCCCCCCCCAAATCAGGAAAGCACTTCTCCCGGCCTTTAAGATGGGCTCCACAGACAGGACTGCAGGGCCGACTAGAGGGGAAGGACAGACTGTGCTGTGTTGGAAAGGCGGCGGGCTCTGGTGTCCCACGGCCACCAAGGTTTTTGGTGAAGAGGGTTCCTTCCTGTCCTCACTCCCCAGTGGCCCTGTGTGGAAGGTGAGAGCAAGCCCTGACCGGCAGGATCATGTGAGAGAACACACTTCTCGAGGTGCCTGCCACGGATTGTGGGCGCAGCAGAGCTCGTTCCCTATCGCCTGAAGCGGCCGCAGGGATCCCCTGCCAGCCGGTGAAATGGAAGGAACTGGGAGGGAGTCACCGCCTTCCTCCACGCCCACCCCACCCCCGCCCATCCCTCCCAGTGTGCATTCCGTGTCCCTCGTCTGCGTCTGCGATGGCTGCCAGCACACAGCTCGCAGGAGGAGGGAGCAGTGAATTAAATCCCAGTCCATCCATCTAACTGACAGTGACACAGACATTTAAAATGATCATTACGATGACCAGCAGCAAAGCCGAAAAGTGCCTGGGGCAGGCTGCGCTAAATACAGCACACAGAACCACCTATGCTGGAGGCTGACTGAAAGGTGGAAAAGGCCGCTACTAGGGAGGCGACATACGCTCTCTGGCCCTCCCTGCAAACACAACTGGCTGCCCAACTATCTGTACTGATGGTAATGATTCTACATTTTTATAACATTAAAAAAAAAAGTTTTTAAAAAAGCATTTGACCTCTCTTTCTCGCTCACCTCCTTGAAACTGGCTCTCCTCCTCCTCCCCGGAGCCCTACACCTGGTGAATACACCTCAAAGACGTGGGAGATGGAGGGCCTACAAGCCTAACTGGGCCTGAGTCAGTGAGGACACAGAAACCTCGATCGCAGAAAAACAACAACCAGCAAAGACACTGAAGGGGAATGTCAACAGGTGCGTCTGATCGGGAAGGTGGAGCGATGGTCTGAAAGTCACAAAGGAAGGACCTGTAGTGGTCAGTTTTCTGAGACTGAGAAGTCTCAGGCAGGGGATTAGTGATGGATTAACTCCCGGGATGGCAGGGGTAGCTTGGGACGGACACAAGGCAAGGGTTTTTTCCAGAGCTGAATAGAAGCAAACCATTTCTTCCACCCACCTCTCTCTGAAGCAACAAAACAGATTTACAACTTATAGTTTCTGGCAAGTCATGTAGAAAATTTATGGAAAGGTTCTTTTCATAGCCCTTCCTGTGCACGGCCTCTCCAGCAAGCCTAGCCTAGGCCGGCAGCTTCAGGAGGCAGTGGGGGAGGGACAGCTTTGGCTACAGCAACCTCCAGGAATAGTTACTGGAAAAACACCAGAAAGGCAGATGCTGAAACTGGCAGGAAGGGTCCCTGTGTGAAGAGGCCCTACTTTCCTTACTGTTTCCAGAATAAACATGATGGGCCCTGCTCGGAAGACTGCCCAGCTCTTGAGGAGTTGGGAGGTAAAGAGATAGAGGAAACACATTCTAATTTAATGCTGGGTTCAAGGTATGTACCAAGTGTCCAGGAGGTAGACAGAGGGAGATCCAAGTCTGACCTCAGGAAGGGTCAGGGGCAGCAGGAAAGCATCCGAGAGGGCTTCCTGGAGGAGATGACATTGGTATCGGGACTAAAGGATAAGTAAGTGCTTGCCAGGCATAGATGGAAAGGGGTGTGAAGAACTTCCTAAAGCAGAGGGAAGAGCCTACACAAAGGCACATGAGTGTAGAAACAGCATGGTCTGTCAGGAAAAAAGATAAGCAGTCTGTTATGGTCAGAAGGCACTATGTGTTAAGAGGTGATATCAAAAGGCAGGGACAGAGGCCATACTGTAGAGGTATTTAAGGCCACTAAGGCAGCTGGCATTTATCCTCGAGTCAGGGGGCTCCTGAATGGTCTGAAAGGAGGAGAGTGACAAGGTCAGATGCGTGTGAGAAAGATGACTCCGGCAGCAGCGTGCATTTAAGGCTCTGAGCCCTTTTATTTCTAAGCCATCTGTCAAAATGGCAGCTGGGCTGGGGCTGTGCCGCAGAGGAGCCACACCACCTGCTCCACGGCACGCACCACACAGCAGCCACAGAGCACGTATTGCTGTTCCCGTCTTCATGTTCCTTCTGCAGTACGTGCGCCAGTTACTGGTTAGTATCTTGTGAAAACAGACAAGACCACGTCTGAGCGCACAAGTCACACGATGAAAAGGCGCAGGAAATAAGGGCAGAGGCAACACGATGGCCCCAGTGGCAAGCTTAGCTTCTACTCGGGAAGATACTGGAAGATTTATCAAATGTTGCTGGCTGTAGTGTGATTTCTATATCCATTTAGGGCTGTTTTCAGTCAAGTTATGTTTCTTAACAAGTTTTTCTGCTGGATTTTTTTTTAAATCTGGAAATTCCAAACATTAAGCCTGAATTGGCAGGCCTACTTGAGGGTCACCAGTTCAGTTTTCCCAAAATGCAAGCACCAAGGAGGCAGCAGGGCAGACATTAGCCAGGAAGGCAGGCGTGCTTACTTACCCTATCAACCTTCATGATTTGAAATCTCTGAGATATGTCAGCAGTGTTGGCTGGTAGTCGAGATCTTCCAGACACAAACCTCATGAAAAGCACCCGCTCTTCGTTCGAGAACTCCTCCAGCGTGTGCCAGAACCACTGCACCAGCTGGTGCTGCTCGTCCACCTCCCGGTACCGCACCACTTTCTTCAGAACTTCCACGGAGATCTCGGGCATCCCACACACCATCTGCTCCAGCTGCTTTGCCGTGAGGAGGGACAGCAGCGGCACAGGGACGATCCAGGACATCCCTTCTCGGACTGCAGCCACCTGCTCCCAGGACAAGTTGTTTGTTACACATGTGCACGGAGACCAGGAAACTCCCGCTTGCTCATTCCCCAGACCCCCACTTTTCCCCACAACTCAGGTGCACATGGCCCACCTGCCCCTGCCCCTTTGTTACAGCTTCTCCCTGCCTGTGGGACTTGTACACCCCTTCTGGTCCCAGATCAAGTCCATTTAGGAGCCCGCCTTCCGCCTCCACAGAACTCAGCCCGCTGGGCCCCCCAGTGCCATCCCCGCTCATACCCCTAATCACATGTGGCCGCGCACTGTTACACTGGGCTCTGTAGGCTACTTGGTCTCCTCATTAGGGTAAGAAGCTCCTGGAGGATGTGTCTAGCTTCTACTGTTTTCGTCATTCATATTTTTCTTTTGAAAATAATTCTATCCTTTCGTAAAATTTATTTGTGCTCATTGTAAAAAAAAAAAAAGAAAAAAGAAATGTACAAAGAAGAAAGTAAAACTGGCAAGTCTTTCTGTGGGAAGGGGGTAGAAAGGACAGAAGATTTAATCAGGAGACTTGGGGTCTGAATCCAAGCTCCACCTCTTCTTTTACTTCAATTTTTTCATCTGAGAAGCAAAGCAAATGATTGCTGCTCATGTGACTATGACGAGAATTTTTAATGCAAGTCTGTGTGACCAGTTACATTGCTTCTTTTCTCCTAGTGGGGTGCTCACAACAGGTCAGCTGGGGAATGTGGAGCGGGAGCTGCCAGGGGCTGCCCGAGTCTGTTTAAAAAAATCCCCCCCAAGGAGGGCGCCTGGGTGACTCAGTCAGTTATCGTCTGGCTTCAGCTCAGATCATGATCTTGTAGTTCGTGAGTTCGTGAGCCCTGCGTCGGGCTCTGTGCTGGTGGTGTGGAGCCTGCTTGGGATTCTCTCTCCTCTCTCTGCCCCTTTCCCATTTGTACCCTCTCTCTCTCTCAAAATAAATAAACTTAAAAAGAAAAGAAAAAACCCAAGATTGCACAGCAATGCACACACCCTACGCACAGACTCATCACCATTCAAGACTTGTTCACAAATACTTCTTCACTCTTGGCCAACTCAGAAGCAACAATGATAAAAAGCAAAACAAAATCTGAGGACCTCAAGAGGAGCCACACCTTGGGGAAGGCCCTGGGGTTGTGACTGGTATAAGGCTGTCCTGCCCAGGGCTAAGAAACAGGAGTGGCAGTGAGGGCAGTTTGCACTGTTATTAAAGGGAATACCCTAGCCAAAGTTTGTCCCAACACAAGCTGTCATGCCTGGCAGAATACAAACCAAGCTGTCTGGAAAAAAATGAGGCTGGGGTATGGGGCTGGCTGCTTGGCAGGGAACAAATGGGGACAGCTGTGGGAAAAACACTGGGTTCTAAGAGACATGGAGGAAGTGAGAGCGGAAGAAGGCCTCATTTCTGAGAAAGGAACAAAGCCAGGGCAGAGAAGAGCTCAGCTGAGAGTGGAGGGTCAATCCGACCCTCAAACGAAGGGCCAGCAGAAGAGCCTAGACCCCACTGTTAAACCTGGTTTGGGATCCTGGCTTTGCCTTGGGCACATCACTTCATTTCTCTGGACTCTGTGCTTTCATCTGTGAAATGGTGACAGTAACCCTTATGTTACAGGGTAACTATAGGAAAAACTGCACCTGAGGGTGTCTGGTCCCAACCTGGCCTGCAGGGGTGACCAATACATTTTTAGTCAATTATGTACTCTAAGGATTAAAATTCTGAAGAACTGGAGACAAACCCTAGGCCCTGGCTGTTGTTAACAGCGTCACTCACAGGATTTGCTTTCACTAAGCTAAGGGATAACAGTTTTCTGACCGGACTTGGCCCAAAGCCAGAGTCAAAGAAGGAAGCAGGAGTGAAGGGTGCAGAATACATATACACTTCAAATCACTACACAGCCTTAGAGTCTCAGTATAGCTCTCAAGAAGACCCTAACATATTCTGCAAATAAAGTATTACTAAAATGGCTATTAAGGACTGTGTAACCAAAAAAACCCATTTTTGGACAAAATATTCATTTCTCTGGTCACTCATCACATTCTCATTATTTATTAAATGCTTACTACATGTCAGCACAGAACAAGAATATTGAGGATACACCATATATATATGATATGTGTGTGTGTATGTATGTGTGTATGTATGTATGTATTTATACATGTATATATACATATACACACACACACACACACACATACATACATACGCACACACTTCACTCAAAGTCTGACAGGCTAATTAAAGAAACAAAATCTAAACTTTGTGGCCTAGTTCTTAGACCACAATATAGAAATACTGTGATATCTTGAGAAATTTCTAAGTAACAAAAAAGAATTCTACAGGCTATGGACCTGGAGGAAAGCTGGTCGGTAGAGATGAATTTTCAACTGGAGCTTGCAGGACTGCAGCAGGAGGGGGAAAGAGGGATTCGTGTGGGATTCCAAGATAAGTGTTTAGGGGTTCACTTGCATGGGCCCTGACTGACCCAGCTGGAGTGGGGACACTGGGCTGGGGACAGTAAGAGATACAGACAAACAAGACAGGGGAAGAGTAAGATGTTGGGGTCTAAAAGCCTGGGTGAGAGCTTGGTCCTTCAATCCAACCAGTGACCAATTCAGAGCTGTCCTAAGGCCCTGAGTAAGATGACAGGAAATTCATAGATAAGGCCTGTAAAGTCTCTGAAGAGCAGCTGAAATTCTGATACAAGTTAACTGACATGGTAAGTTCATACATTAAAATTCAGTAGTAACCAGTTAGCTCTTCTTTGAAGACAACTGCAAACACTCACAAGCACGTTCCAAATGTCATCTCACCTGTCGGTCCATCTCATGAAGTCGATATTCAATGGCCCTCTCCACATACTCCTTCCTGTTGGAAAATGTCAGTGGGATACTATTTCCACCAGGGATTATGGGAACCATTTTGCCATCAGCACTTTGGCCAACAAAAGAATCAAGAGGAATCATCTAAAAAGAGAAAAAAAATTTTTACAAAAAGAACCCGCTTTTTTTTTTTATGTAACAAATAAAAGTAGATTACACACAAATATAGCAAAAACAGTAATAACATCAAAAATATTTTAAGGATAAAAACAAGGAATCCAGGTAGCTAATCATGCCACTTGATCAGAAGGGAATGTGCTGACTTATGAGGCTGTAGTTAAAAATTCCTCTGTTCTCAAACGAGGCTTGATGAACTCTGGTCACCCCAGGCCTCCCTCTCTCCAACTGGGCCCCCTCGCTCGCCCATCCTGGCAGGCAGAGAGCTGACAGGAGGAAGGAGCAGAAGCTGGGGTGCTGGTGTCAACTCCACCCATCGGCAGCTATGTCAGTTGCTGGGGCTGAGCTGCTCAGGCAGCAATGGGATATGGCGTGAGTTAATCAGACAGCAAGTGGAAGACTGTATCTGAGTTTTACACAGAAAAATTCTAGTCAAAACCAGCAGAAGGCAGACTGGCCAAGACTCACCTCATGGAAACTTTCCTCGGTAATCCCACTGTCTTCAATGTGAAGAATGCTGTTGAGGGTCTGCACGTAGAGCAGATCCACCTCCTCCAGGTCTTCTAGGGTGAGTGGGACACAGCACAGCTGCTTCCACACCAAAGGGGCCAAGTGGAGGTCCAGAGGCTTCTTTGTGCGAATGGCAACCCCCATCAAGATCCCCAAGAATTTAAACTGCATTAAGTGTTCGTCAAGGCAGGCAGAGGGGTTAAAAAGGAACCTGCAAAATTAAAGGAAATATTTCAAATAAACTGCCTTCATTTCTATTAGAAATAAGTTATCCGACAGCTATAGCATAATCCAGACCTGTGCTGTTCAATATGGTTGGTAGTCATCTGCCACATGTGGCTATTCAAATTAATTAAATAAAGTGTAAAATGCAGTTCTTCAGTGACTCTAACCACATTTCGAGTGCCCGACAGCCACATGTGCCATGGGGCTAGTGTTCTGGATAGCCCAGGGACCGTATTTTGAATTATTTTTAGAAGAACCATAAAATAGCAACTGAATGGTCTATTAGCCCCTAAGCTACCTGCTCCAGGATGCTCTGTTTCCTAAAATCATTTATCATTTATGAGTCCATGCAGCAGGATTCAAAATTCAAAATTTGGCAATACAGATAATTGCTAAGACTAAGTGCTGTGACTTAATAGCATAGCTAATCTTTCTGATGAATTGTGATGCAGCAAATTCCTTGAGGGGAGGCCATGTGGGCCTTCAGAAACACAAAATAAGTCAGGTTTCATTATCAAGTCTGAGTTTCCTCTCCCCTCTGTATGATATTTGAATTGGTCCTGTAACAAAGTCATGACGGAAGTGCCCCAGTTTCCTGACCTGTAAAATGGTAATAATAACAGTTCCTACTCCTTTGGGCTCAAATGAGGATTCAGTGGGATAACATATGTAAAGCACTGAGAACAGTGCCTGGCACACAGTCAGCACTCAATAAATGAACTATCGTTATTATTATCATTATTACTGGAGATAGTCAACAAACACTTGCTGACTGCCTTACCTATCCCTATTGTAGCCCACTTCTGCAGTAGCATTGGGAGAGGGTATAAGAAGGTCAACAATACCAGTTTCAAGTTCCTGTAAAAGAAAGAACAGGTTTTTGAAAAATGACAATCAAATGCATCAAGAGAACAAACTAAAGATCATACTGAAAAGAGAATATTTTGAGGAATTTATAGTTATGTGACAACCAGGCAACTCTGTAATTTTTGTGGCTTTAATTTAAAATGAAACTAGAAACCTTCCCCATGTAGAAAATATCCTGTAGTATGCGGAAGTAACAAAGTCAATCCAGGGAAGGAGTTGGGGTATCTGTGAGTAGGGTATAGGTCTATTCGAATATAACCAACAAAGGAGAGCCAGAAGTTATTTCAGTCATAGGATTGATTAGAAAAATCCTGCTACTGGGCGCCTGGGTGGCGCAGTCGGTTAAGCGTCCGACTTCAGCCAGGTCACGATCTCGCGGTCCGTGAGTTCGAGCCCCGCATCAGGCTCTGGGCTGATGGCTCGGAGCCTGGAGCCTGTTTCCGATTCTGTGTCTCCCTCTCTCTCTGCCCCTCCCCCGTTCATGCTCTGTCTCTCTCTGTCCCAAAAATAAATAAACATTGAAAAAAAAAATTTTGAAAAAAGAAAAATCCTGCTACTAAGCAAAGCAGGAAGGGTCGAGTGGATCTGGAAGCAAAGTTGTCACTGCAGATCTCAAAATAAGAACCAGTCCAAACTCTTAGTATTTGTTTTTCTAATTCCGCTAGAACCTGGCAGTTCACTTCCTTCTAAAAGCACCAGAATTAATCGGAGCACACAGGTGGTCCTGGATTTGTCTATTACATAAATGTATAAGTATGTGTCATCATTGTTTCCTCTGCCAGTATTAGAGCACCACAGACTGTGAGTCACTGGTAGATGGTTAAGCACTGACAGGTACCTTCATACATCATTTCACAAACCGTAGCTATAATTCACCTATACATCATTAACAGCGTGATTTTTATAAGGCTCACAAATGCATCCTTGCTACATTTATAAAAACATGTCAGAGCAGTCACTGAAAACAGTAAAAAACAGCCACCACTTGAGCACATGACTCAGCAAGGGACACTGCATGAATATACCTGGCACATCTCTGTGATCGTGTCATCAAACACTCCCCCAGCATCATCCGCCCCTTCACCAACCAGCTTAACCTTCCACGCTCGTGAGGGCAGACGGAGGTCTGATGCATTCAGCTTTACTACTTGTCTTGCTATCTGAACAAAGATGGGCTTACACTTCCGTCCTCTTTAAAAGAAAGGGAAAACAGAATGAAAAACAACTCTCACTAATTTTCCCAAACCACCACAAAGGTCCCTTGAAGGTATCTTCCCATCAGTGAATGAACAATCCAGCCTAACAATAGTCAAACAGTGTGCTAGGCCCACTATAACCACACTGGGCACTAAGGGAAGCACTGCCACTATCCTAGTTTACAAGTGAAGAAGCTGAAGGTCACAGAGATTAGTTAGTAATAAGGTTCATCTAAAAAAATGCTAGACAGTGAAATATACACACATATGCTAACCTGGTTGATATCCTCTTCACAGTAATTTGAGGTCCATAGTTTTTGCCTTGAACCATGGTTTTCCCTATGGAGCGCACCATTGGCAGAGTGTAGACCCTTGGAGCTAACAAAGGCCGAAGCTGTCCCTGTACAATGCCCCATGTTCCAGCATTATAATGGGATGTACTGTTCTGTAACAGAAAGTAAGCTACTCAGAAATGGAACACTCTAAGGCTCAAAAGAAATAACACCTCTCACTTTTAGAACATAATTCTTCATGAATTAAAAGCATAAACCTGGGGGCATCTGGGTGGCTCAGTCAGCTAAGCATCCGACTTCTGCTCAGGTCACGATCTCACGGTTTGTGAGTTCACGCCCCAAATCAGGCTTGCTGCTGTCAGCGCAGAGCCCACTTCGGATCCTCTGTCCCCACTCTCTCTGCCCCTCCCCGGCTTGAGCACGCACACACGCACGCACGCACTCTCTCTCAAAAAAAACAAACATTAAAAAAAAGTATAAACCCGGATAGTATTAACTTTTTACAAATACTTTTTTCTGATAAAATACATGATTATCATTTTTTAAAACTTGGAAAATACAGAAAAGGACACACACACACACACACACGCACACAAATGAGTCATCCATAATCTACATTATCGCTCTCATCTATTTCCTTCTAGTTTCCGTGTGTGCATTTTTTGCATTGTTGAGAACATACTGTTTATACAATTTTTTGTTTTTCTCACTTAACTTTTTATCATCAACATTTCTCCCATGAATTACAAACAGTTTTCTAACATTTTCTTTAGTGCTGCCCAGTATTCTGTTGCCTGGCTGATCACCTATTTCTAACAATGATCTGTCAAATCTCTCATATGCCCCATGACTGGCTACCCAAAGATTTCTGACTAACAGTTTTACAAATTGTGACACATTTTGGCAGGCATGTCTATACATTACACAAACAAACAAACATAACCAGCTTGCTTTCTTCCTAAATTACTGACTGTCCTACAAAGGCAGTCAAACCAGCCAGATTTACTTTATCTCCTCCACAGGACCCAGAATGCTCATTTGCAAGGAGATAAGGAAGTCTCCCCAGTGTCTCAGATTCATTACAGAACCACTTAGACTGTGGTGCTAACATCTGTGTGTGCTTAAGTTTTAAAAATCACATCACATATTGGACTTTACAGAAAATACATGCTTAGCCATTCATACTTCCTTGAGCTATGGACAAACCAAAGCATTGTGTCCAGCAACACAGTTATCAGTATCTGGACTATCGCTAAACCAGCAACAAAATGGAAACAGAACTATTGCCTTTTCTACATCTTTTGGGAGCTGAGAGTAAAAAGTGTTTTCCTGGGACCTGGAGAGCAGTGCTTCCCAAGCCAACATGTTACCTGGTTGTTGGGGCTGAGGTTCAGTAGCCTCCAGGATGAGTACATGAGGTCAGAGAAATGGTAGAGCAGCCGGAGCCTGGCCCTTGCAGTGTGAATGCTCACCTCCCTCAGCGCCCCATACTGGGGGGGGACCGCATCGGGCAGGCCCAGCTGCAGAGGTACCGACACACCTGCCCAGAGAGCAAATGGACACTTACAAAGGAAAATGCACTGCTTTCATTTTGAGTATTTGGAAAATTTTCAAACACACAGAGAAGGTGAGATAAGTGTACAATGAACACCCATTCCTACCACCTAAGTTCCCTAATTATTATTTGTCTATATTTGCCATATCACATATTTATCAGTTCCTCTCTCCATCAATTCACCTTTATTTCTTGATGCATGCGTGTTGGTTGTTAAAGCATCTTTTTTATTTATCATTATGGAAACTTTTAATTTAATTTAGTTTTCCATTTAACTATGGGGCCTAAACAGTTCCTTCACAAGAAAACAAAAACACCCCAAATTCTTCCTTTCATATTAACTGCCATCTTCATAAAACACAAGATGTAAGCCAGGACTAGGTAGGCAATTCTGGAAAACGGAAATGGGCAACTCAGCAGTCACTTCCCACACTCACTAGGGATCTGAGAGAAAGTGACCATGACAGAAGGAAAGCTATGGGTGCATGGTTTATGAAGGCTTTGTACTGAGGAGTAAGAGCTCTGCAGAAGCAAGGACTGTAAGGACCACATTCATGGTGAACCTCTTATTAAAAATGCATAAAAGAGTAAACATACAACACCCTACTTATTTGAGTTTTGTGTAAATAAAGATTTGTACAGCTCAGTTCCCAGCTTATTTTTATTCTAGTTAATTTTATTAATATTATTAGTAAAAGCTAACATTGAGTACTTCTATGTGCTGGGCACTATTCTAAGAGTTTCACACAAATTGTTTAATCCTATAGCCCTTTACAATAGGGGCTATTTTTATCCTCATTTTACAGACAAGGAAACTGGGTCTGAAGATCATTCATTCAGCTTGTAGGTGAAGAAGCTAGGATTCAACCCAGGCAATGTGGCTCCAGTCTGGACTTTTAACCACCACACTGCATAGCCTCTCTCCTGAAGTGCAAGTGAAATCTCTCTGAAAGATGAAGAGGACCCTGAATACGTGGAATTGTCAGTGTGTGCATAGCACTGCTCATTCCAGATTCTGTTAATCAGAAACCATCTCCTGCTTGTTTGGCCTCTACTTGGCAGTCCTCATTTGCTCTCTAAGGATACCTATCTAGAAGAAAAAATTCTCTATGGTGAGTCTTCCCCAGGGACCTCTGGCTTAGAAGTAGAGGTCAGCAAAAAGGGAAGAGGATACTGAGTTCCCAGGCACAAGGTTGCTTTAGGGAAACTCTAGTCTCTTAGACACCAGAGAATGGTAGAAATAACGGGCTTAAGGGCCTGGAAGAGAAACAGCCCCAATATCAAAAAAATGCTTAAGAATGATAAATGCCCCACATTTGCAGGGAATGGAAGATGGACCCAATCTGGACAGTACTTGCTAGGATGTTAAGTACACAAATACACATTTTCTTAATATGTTTTTGTAGCTTTATAAGGATTTAATAATAAACAAAAAGGTAGAAAACTGCCTATCGGTCCTACTACATGCTGGAGTAAAATGGCAACATTTTTTTTTTCTGTGTCAGTGCAGAGACATCATGTTTCAAATGGTTAACTTGGGGGGGGTGGTGTGTGAAGAATTTGACAGATGGTCTCAGACCTTTTAATCTTTATTCCTAACAGCAAGCCTTAGAAAGCTATGATTCATCACTTCTTTCATATAAATATGAAAAAACACTTAGTTGCTGCTCTAAAATTGTACATTTTTGCCTAAGTGACAGGTTTTTTTCTTTGGCGGGGTGCAGAGAGGGAGTGCTTTGTGTGAGGTCTGCAGGAGAATCACCTGCTATCAAAGTATTTACAGTGCTGGCAGCACAAAGACTGCTTTGGCTGGGTGGGGAGGCCTGGCGGTTTCAGAATGATGCCTCGATGCAGTCTGAAAATGGCAAGCAGACAGAGCAGCTGGGCACTGCTGAAAGAGAAGCTGCAGGAGAAGGGTAGTTCATCCCTCACCGGGTGCTCTTGGCGGGACAGGTGGCGCTGTCCATGCAGCACTGTGGCAGCGGCCAGCTGAGATCTGCCGGACATTTTTCCCTTGCAGGACTGTTACCAGGGTTGGTTCTCGAACATGGTTGGTGTGGCCTAAGCCAAGCTGGAAATAAATTACAAAAATACAGAGCCAATTACAAAGAGAAAGAGAGGAAGTCAAGATGATGAGATCTGCCTTAGGTGGTAGCAGATACAAATAAATACCTGTACTAACCAACATCAAAAAAATGAAGTTAATTCTGATTGTCTCTATCAGAATAGTCCTCACAGCTCAGACTGTCTCCTAAAAACCAAGCTGCAACAAGGCTATTCCAAATCTAGCAGTGAGTCTTAATGACTGAACACATCCTTGGATTCCACTTCTAGAGAGGAAATTAATTCATGAATAGTTTAAAAAAATAACAGAATGATCTACACAGCTTTTATTTAAAACACATTGATTTCCTTTTAAGATGGGATGCCTGGGTAACAATAAATAAACAGCTATAAAAACGTACACAGAAGCAGATTCTCATCTCCAGGTCTCTGTTCCTAGGGTGTGACTGGACACCCAGTGTTTCAGCAGCTAAGCACCTTGACATCATTAGAGAGAATCATGTCAAGACCCTGCCAGTGACCTCCCTAAGATGTCTTCAGCATCAACTCTCTTCTCATTAAGACACTGTGCATGCAAACCACAATGATGAGCAGCTTCCTCATCTATTAACATAGTGATGAGGTGACCACAGAGTCACCGATGAACAATGGAGACCTTGAACTTGAGGGCCTCTGGCTCTATGGGCAGACAGACCCAGAGAGGATTTACGGAGGAAGGGAATGTGGCTCTGCACGCAGGGCTGAAAGCCACTGTAGCAGCAGGCATCCTAGACATCTCCCACCCAAATCTGTGTCTCCTCCATATATAAGGTAGGCTGAATACATCAACTTCTTGAATCTTTTCTCAAACTCTTAGAGGCTCAGTTTATTCCTCTGTAGAACAAGAATGACAAGACTTCCTGCAGAAACGCAAATATACTATGGATACCATACTATGTACAGTACTATGTCATATTATTAAACATAAAAGTATGGGTTCATTCTTTCCATTTTCCAGATTAACTGATGCTCCTAGGACCTAATCTCACCCATTACCATAGTAAAAATCATGATGATGCCAATAGCAAATACCCCTAAAGTGCTGCTTACTATGTGCCAGGTACTTAAATGAGTGTAGATACACACACATACTCAGTTAATTCCCTTAACTGCTTTGCTATACCATCAGATTTTTTTTAAAACCATGGTGTAATGCCTACTTGGCCACGATCAAGAGAGACACATACACAACTGGACTCACAAATAATTCAGTCCGTGTCAAAGTGATATGTGTGAGGCATCGTGGTAGATCTTATGAGTTTCCTAGCTTATCCCTTTACCAAACGAGGAACACTGTCAGATTTCTAGAATATGAGGCAAGCAAGATAAATATTTACCTGCCCTTCTGAATTGCTCCCCCAGGCATACACATCTCCAGTTGATGCCAAAGCAAGAGTGTGCTCAGCTCCAACTGCCACATCTTCGATGACCACTCCAGCCAGCACAGGGATCTGTTGTGGTCGGTTATGATTGCGAGCACGCCCCTCTGGCAAGCCTATCAAGCGATCTGAAGAAATAGAGGAAATTTATGGATGGCATACAACAGTCCTTTATGTTTTCTAATGAGTTCTCTAACTTTTCTGGTGGAATGGCGATGACATATAGAACTCTTTAGAGCCAAAGCTGCTATTCTGGTAAGGTATACTGGATTCTGAGCGGATGAAGTTTGAAATTGTTTCTTTGCAAAATGTCACAGACTCCTTATTCATAAAATAAATAAATCTAAAATTAGCAGCTTATTTCAAACCAAGAGGCACCTCCAGTATCCTCCTATTTGAGAGGATTGGCAGGTAGTTAAGAAAGGCCCTACAGTTCTTGTACTCTAAGAAAAGACGTTGCTCAACTTGCCTTGTCCTCAAACTGCCAGCCAACTTCTCCCTTTCCCTCTGCTGCCAAACTTCTAGAAAGTGCAGGCCAGCCCCTGTTACCCCATGGCCTCTAGAACTGTTTGGTTTGGCCACCTCCTGCAGCCTACCTTCCACTCTCACCACTACACTGAGACTGTACTGTCAAAAGCCATGAGCAGCTCCTAACTGCCTCTTCTCAACAGCCTCTTCTCAGGCTCTAGCCCCTGGAGGTCCACATAACCTTCTGATGACCTGGCCTCAGCCCCCTGCCACCCTGAAGAGACTTCTCACTACCCTGGCTCACTGGCAACCTCTCTTTCACCCCTTTCAAAGCCAACTCTCCCCAGTCCTCTTTCTGTGCTCACCTGCCCTTGAGTTCCATCCAAGTCTTTTTATTCTATACTCTCCGTGGGCTTCCTGAGCCTGTTAACATGGTTCTAAGTACTATTATTGTGCATTATGCAAACCTACATCTCCATATCCAATTTCTCTGGAGTTCCAGATCCAAATCCCCAATAACTTGCTAGACATCTCCATACATATACCTAGAGTATATGGCTCCAATTCAGTATGACCTTAACTAAGTTCTTACCTACTTCCAAACCAGCTTCCTGTCCTCAGTTAGTGGCATTAGAGTTCTCCCAAGATTAGAAACCTCATTCACGACTTATTCCTTCCTCTTCCTCTTCCTCACATTTGCCTTACACCTTCCTCAGTCACTACAATTTGCTAAGAAGTTCGATTTAAGAAGGTGAATATACTGCCAGGGAATCCCACAGTGGATGACTCGACTACGAACCACTCAAGATCTGAACCCTGAATGCCTGTGAATTCCTAAGACCTGAATCCCCAGTCCCTGAGAGGGCTGGGGAATCAGACAGGATCCAGAGGAGCTCTGTTGGTCAAGAAGTGTTTATGGCAGAACAGTGGAGGGAGAAGAAAGGAGGATGCGAAGGGCTTTGGCAGGAACTCTTCTAGCAGGATCAAAGGCTCTGGTATGACAGACTATCAATGGGGAGAAGAGTTTGTCCTTATGACAAATTTCATGAAAAAGGAGCAGAAAAGTAGCTAGTGAGTGAAGGTCACAGTGGCCATTCATCACCCAGAACAAAACACAACTCAATTTAGAGCACTTTCTGTAAAACTGGAAGGCAAATGTTTCTGTAATACATGTGTACACAAGACAAGTAAAGTATTGCCTGGAAAATGCCTCACCTTGACCAAAGGTATACACATGACCATCTTTGGTTAATGCAACAGAAAACTGAGTTCCACAAGCAACCTTTTTTATTCCAATTCCACAAAGGACATCAACTTTCTGAAAAATATAAGCGTAAAGCACATACTTTAAAAAGAAAATAAGAACACTTTTGAATTTGCCTACTGGCCTGTATAAGCAAGCATTGTCTACTAATAAAAATACTAATTGTCACCTACCTGTCTCCACCCAAATTCACACTCCTAAATTGAATCTGTGGGAGGGAGTGTTGGGGACAGGGGCATTTGACTAAAATCCCTAGGACCCCAGGTGAGTGAAAGCATTTCTCTAGGCAACAGAGACCAAAGAGAATCCTGTGGCCTTTTAAATAATACTGCAAGACCATGTCCACGGGCTGCTCCCAGTTAGGCTTTTTCTACTTTCAGAGGTGATAATAACTGCTTTATATGCACCCCAGAGATGGTTTCCTGGCTTTCCACATCCCTAGCGGAATATTCAGCAGTCTAGATATCAAGATGTTACAGACTATATATGATAGGGCATCTGGAGTTGAAGATACATATTAAATATTCGTAAATCATGCTGCTTGTTAAACGTGTTAGGAAAACCCACTAAAAGAATTGCACAGAAGGTCTTCTGCAGAGCCAAGAAACCTGTAACATACTAGCTTCTAATTTATTATTTTCTGCATTTCCTTTTTATTACTTTTTAAAAGGAGGCATATACCTCTATAATTCAGTGATAATAATAAGCTAAAATGGCAGCTGCAAGCATAAGGTTACAAGATTGTTCATGGTTCCCTCCATAAGACACCTTGGAGACATGTTTATAACTATTTCTTCTCTACATGGGAGATAGTCCTACATTGTTCGGCTTGTGTATGGAGACACAGGCTTCTCCATGCAGAATTTTTACATTCATTTTAGCAATTAATGGCTTATTTAAAACCAAGATCCAAAATGCTGGACATTTAAGAGTAAGTAATAGAAGTTTCCAAATTTCATTACGAATTTACTAAAATGTTAAAGGTAAATGATTTTCCAAGTAAAAAGAGGCACTGACACAAAGACAATACTGACCTGAGGGGAAGATTTTGCAGTAGAATTTCCTAAGCCTAGTTTTCCATAGTCCCCATCTCCAAAAGCCCACACCATGGAGCCGTCTGCTGATACTGCCAAAGTGTGGTTTAAACCACAGGCCACCTGGAGAAATAACAGGGTACTCAGTAAGACAAACGCATAGCACCTAAACCACGTACCCGCTTCCGAGACTTCGGCTATATATATTTGTATTTTTATTAATTTCAGGACTTTCTGCATATGTTAACCAAAATGTGTAAGAAAAAATTCCTAATGTCCACAAAGAAAAAAATAACTTTTTCTTTCAAGGCAAAATCCTTTAAATACCTGTGACTAACTCAGAATCAGAGAGCATAAAAGAGGAAAAAGTACATATGACTAAAAACATTTATACGTCTGAGGAATGATACAGGAAAAGATAAAAATATCTCCTTGTTCAGAGATAGTCTCAATGTATACAGGACAGGGACAATATTGCTTAAGAGCAGTAGCTACCCATGATGCTGCACTTCAGCCATCTACTTCAAAACTAGCAGACAGCAATGACAAAAATCTGTATTGTTTAAAGGTTTTATATCAAGTTGTACTACAGAGGGGTTTTTAAAACATTCATATCCTGAATTAAGGCTTCTATATGTTGGTCACATTGTTTGCCTTAAAATGTTAATTTTCACATTGGGAAAAAAAATCATGACAAATGATCAAGTACGCCAAACAAAATGTACATGAGGTTAAGTAGAACTGGTGATTCTAGTCTTCCTGAAAAAACAGAGTGCACACAGAGGAAATACGAATCTACGACCATGAAACATATTATGGATTTATTCCTTGCCTGTCCAATCTGATATCCCTCCAGTGCAGTCACTCTCTCTGGTAGTTTTTTGTTAGAGGTGTTTCCAAGACCCAGACGACCGTAGTCACCATTCCCAAAAGTGAACAGTTTGCCGTCTGAAGTTACCACTGCTGAGTGCTTGAAGCCACAAGACATCTACAGACAGAACCAAGAAGAAAAAAAAAATTAAGAAGAGAGTATACTAAGAAATAAAGAACTCCGTCATTTTCAGGTAATAATATAGTAATAAACTTCACTGACAACTCTGGGTCTTCAAGACCAGTATGTCCGACCTGCCCAAGTGGCCCTCCTGCTCCTTCAAATCTTATCGCCTCATCATCCTTAGGAAGACCAAGCTGAAGAGCCTACATTGGAAGAACTGTTGCTATCTTGTAGCTGTGTACAGATGACCTAGACCACGTGTAATAGTAAATGTGGAAATGCTTTGTGAACGCTAAAGTGCTAGGCAATTTTACATTAATCACTAATTGACTTTCCAGAATATGTGTACAACTCAGCCTTGGTAACAATAATGGTAAATGGAAAGCTTTTCATTCAAACTAATACTGTGTCCAGAACTATGGGGCAGAAGCTAAACCCCACTGTTTTTCTTCCAAGGACCTGGAGTACCCCAGCCTGGGCCAACCAGCTGGTTCAGGAAAAAGGACTCCATTCTAACACCAAAGCCCATTCAAACTTCTGACAAAGTCAAGAATGAACAACCAGAAACAGTGGATCTCTTGTAATGATTCTATAATGTATTTTTACCATTATCTCCTGTTACATGAATTTGAGAACCCTATTCAACAGCTAGTATATTTTCATTCAAAGGCAAACTTATCCATGTCCTGCCTGACCTGCACCACTTCTTCTCCTTGTAAGGCCTCGATCTGCCTGGGGCGCCGCTGCCTGTCGCTGTTCCCGTGGCCGAGTTTGCCATAATCGCCATCTCCCCAGCTAAAGACCTCACCACTTTCAGTCAGGGCCATTGAGTGACCATCAGAACCACAAGATGTCACCAGCTGGGTCACCACAAATCCTGGAACAGAGCAGAAAGAAACCCAACAAGAATCACTGGATGTTAAAATTCTTTAGTTACAGCTGCTACAGAATACTCTTAGAATGGAAAAACACCAAAACTGCACTACAGTAATAAAAACAATGTCTTTAATTGTAAATCACATTTGTAGCCATAACTTAGTAAATTGAGAGCAGTCCCATAAAATAATGATGACCAGGAAGGAAAGGAGGGTGACGGAAACAGTTAGTCATTAAGCACTATGTTCTAGCCACTCCTATAAATGCTTTACCTGGATTATCTCTTCTCTATTTTCACATAAAACCTACAAGGCAGATATTATCATCACCACTTTTACAAATGGGTAAACCAAGTCACAAAGAGGTCTAGTATAGCTTGTGCAAGGTCCTAGAGGCAGGACGTGGTAGTTCCAGCCAGGAGTCCCACCTTCCCGTCCCCACTGCTGTGCTCTTCACACTTAGATCTCAAGGAAGAGAACTTAGAACTGTTTCGGAACTGGCTCTCAACTCATTATTACTTGTATGCTTTTAATACAAAAACCCTCTTTGCTCTCTTGTAGGCTTTGGAGTCAGTAAAAGTTGACTTAAGGAACAAGCCAGGGGCTCCTGCAGTGGTTTCTCCAGGGATATACTTTTTCCAAGTCAGAGAACTCTGACAGTCTTTGACAGCACTCTGAGAACTCTGTAAAAGTCTTTTGTACATTTGCACATATCCATAGAAACTGATTTTTACTCTTAAGGAAACACATGCATGATTATTGCTATTAATAGTTGCCTAATTTCAGTTTTGTAATTTTATAAGAATTTGTTTACAACAATCTTTATGGGTCTTAAAATAGTTATTTATATCATTGAATTCTAGCACTGCCATGAAAAACAGCTTGCAAAATAACAGCTTAAAATATGGAAATCAGGCTGTACATCCTAAATGAGAATCTAAATAAGTGAAAATCCTATTATGACTTTATCCAGCAAAGGTTTGAGATGAGTTCCAACATAAGCAAACATTCCTATGGTTAGTCCATATTTTCTGACCAGCTTTTTAATTGAGAATAATTTTACCTTGTAAGGCTGAAATAACTGTCAGCACATGAAGGTCATCTGAATTTCCTTGCCCCAATCTGCCATAACTTCCTTCCCCACAAGCCAACACTGTGCCATTGGCCTGGATGACAAAAGTACAATTCTGACCACATATGACCTAGTAAAGAAACACAGAACTATATTATCTTTCATTATACAGCCTTAACACTTAAAATGATTCTACATATACTTAGGATGCCTGTATTAATTATTTTATCCTTTCACTAAAGGGGATGAGTTGAAATAAGTATGGGGTTCCTACAAGCCCTTGATTGTTATAAAACTGCTTACTTAAGGAGGTGTAGGAGGCTCATCGGACTATTTAAAATCATTTAGAACTATGTGATCTACAGGAATTTCAGCCAGCTGTGCGGTGTTAAAATAATAATGTTAACAAAACAGACAGCGGAAAGGATGATGGGGAAATATTAAAGACTGGCTAGAGATCATCAAGAAGCAGAAGCCTGAGGAGATATACACAAGAAAGAGTAACGCATCCTGGGACTCACTAAGGTAGAGAAGAATGGGTAAGAAAGCAGTGGCTTGAGAAAGGGTTTGAGAATATAGTACCACAATTATTAGAAGAGGAGAGGGGCGTTAAAGAAATCTAGCTAAAAATCCCTGTAAGTTAATGGCCCTCAAACAGAATCAATAATTAGGAGCATGTTAACTTCTGTAAATATGTACTAGGCAGGTCTAATGCTGATGCACTTGAAAGCAAGAAAAACTTAGAAAATTAACAAAAACCCTAGAAATCTTTTATTTGGAGGCTATACATGACTTTGTTCAGTTATTCCTCACCACAGATTACACAATGGAAAAATTTTTTTTAACGGCAAGGGAATCAGAATTGTTAGTTCCCAAGTTTCTTCTCCATTTCTTTACCCAGTAGTTACCTGTTGGGCCTGTGAGAATGAGGGAGCTGCTGCAGGTACCATAACATTTCTTCCAGCTTCTGCAAGCTGTCCATGCCTGCCAGCACCCCACAGGTAGACATCACATTTACCTCCCAAGTGCCAGTCCTGGAAAACCACAATCATCTCAAAATTAGATTCATTCATTCATTCATTCATTCATTCATTCATTCAAGTATGTGCCAGCCTCTAAGAGAGACATCAGGTGACAAACACACACTTAAAATCAGAAGATTTACTGAGAACCACCATTTAGTTATCTTTACTGACCTCAGGTCTGGATGTTGCCCAAGACATAATTTGTTCATCCATGCCATTAATCCATTTACTGTTATCCTGTAAGACACAATAAACACCAAGATGAATCTTGCTTAATCAAAATGTATCTTTGCTTAACTAAGTCTTCTTTCCATAAAAGAACTTAGTAATACTGTAAGAAATTAAGAGGAGTTTTACAATCACACCAAATTTGACTATGCATGTTAATATTCTCCTTTATCATAAACAATTTTACTATCTACTATCACTATCACTAATACAATGGTGATTCGAAGCTAACCATTTATGTTTTCTGAGCACCAACAGGTACAAGAGTCACCACCCCCACGAACTAGCTGTACAGCAGTAGCAGGTCACTTCATCTTTCCAGGCTTCAATTTCCTCATCTACAAAATGACAAATTTGGGGCAAATGGGCTCAGAAGGACTCTTCTTAAATTAAAATTATATTTTATATCTATAAATAAATGACCTATACTTCGATAATTTCCCTCAATTCGTATTTCTGTTTTATACTGTATATTTATGTATTCAAATGTTTGTATGTACAAATATATATACATTTTTTAACATTTATTTATTTTCGAGCGACAGAGAGAAACAGAGCATGAGCAGGGGAGGGGCAGAGAGACAGAGGGAGACACAGAATCCGAAGCAGGCTCCAGGCTGTGAGCTATCAGCACAGAGCCTGATGCAGGGCTCGAACTCACAAACCACGAGTTCATGACCTGAGCCAAAGTCGGATGCTTAACTGACTTAACTGACCCAGGTGCCCCCTGTATGTACAAATCTTAATTAAGCAAATATATTGTTAGATCAAGCGCTGGCCTACACTATCTACATAGGCATTTTATCTACATCACAGTTTCTATATCTAGACACTCTCAATTAGAATAAGAAATAACAACTGGAATGCTCTTCTATATTCTTACTTTATGGAGATTAAAACATGATTAGAGTGTCAAATAATTCAGAGTCTTTATGTGGAATAAATCTCACAAGATGACCCAGGAAAAGATGCTAAAATATGTATAAATGAGGTAGTAAACGTGGCACCTATGGAGAAAAAATGGGACTATGTCATTGAAAACCAACAAGTTTACAGGTGCTTCACAGTTCTCCTATAAACAATCTTTGTCACCATAGAGGGCTGCCATAAGACTGAAAATGACTATCTGAAAGCAAAACATTTTAAGTTTATCTAAGGGCATGCTTCTAGCTATCCAAGCTAGGAAATCCTGAAGGTCTGCTACTTGCTAAACATCCATGATACAATCTCAGCTGCATATAACAGCAGCTAATTTTAGGCTTACCATTAGGAATGTAAGCTCATCCTCTGGAACAGGCTCTAGATCAGGAACAGTAAAAGATTCTGGAAATTGTGCTCCGTTGGTCAGGGCTTCAGCAGCTTTTATGGTGGTTGAGAAACATTCTAACCAGGCCCACTCATTTGGATTCCAGGATGCTGGGTCAGGGAGGCAGTTCTGGTGGTGTGGTGGCACTGGAGGGTTACATAACAGCTGATCCAAATGCAGTCCCACAGCGAGGGAAGCCAGACACTGCATGTAGGGGCTATGAACAAGCTGATCGCCACAAACCACATGAGGCTAAGAGGAAATACAAGAATGTTAAGTTGAAGAGTCTATACCAAATATTATAAATTAACCTACCAGGCACCTGGATGGCTCAGCCCGTTCGTTAAGTGTCTGATTCTTGATTTTGGCTCAGGTGATGATCTCATGGTCGTGAGATTGAGCCCAGCATTAGGCTCCACACTGGCTGTGGAGCCTGCTTAAGATTTTTCTCTCTCCCTCTGCCCCTCCCCCGCTCACACATGTCCTCTTTCAAAAGAATTAACCTGCTGTATTCTGAAAATCTGTAATTGTATTTTTTAAGTTTACTATTCTTTTGCACCTGAAACTAATATTACTCTGTATATTCAACTATAAATAAAACTTTAAAAAATAAAAACAAAACAAGAAAAAGTTCAGTTCTTTAAGATTTTTACTTTGAAATAATTTTAGATATACAGAGAGTTACAAGAGATAGAACAAGAATTCTTGTAAATCCTTCACTTAACTTCCCCTAATGTTAACACATAAGCATGGTGCATTAATCAAAACTAAGAAATTAATATTGGCTACAATATTAACTAAACCACAGAACTTTATTTGGTTTTTCTACTAATGCCCTTTTCTGCTTCAGGATCTAATCCAGCACATCACACTGCATTTAGTAGTATATTTTCACTCTATAGTTTTTCATGAATAATAATGATAATGATAATAAAGGTAAAAAAGCAAGTAACTAAACCAAGGCAAGCTCCTCCCTTCTCACATTTCCTCCTTTACAAGAGAATCCTGGTAGCCATCAAAGGAGATCGCTCTTCTGTGGCCCTCCCTAACTGTGGCAGAGCAATTCTGTGAGACTCTGAGTAATTCAGAAAAGAGAACCTAGGCAAATGCATCAGTGAAGTTAACCGGGCACAGTAACAGTTGACTGTATTAATATAGCTTGGCTGAAAAAGAAGGAAATAACACCAAACAGCTCTGCCTAGGGGCAGCACACAGTGACTACTGAGGTCTGGAGGACAGACTACACAGTATCACAGCCTGGGCTACAGCTCCAAATTCCATTATTCCTCATTCTAGTATTTTAAGGACCCTACTCACTTCAGCCTTAGCTCTTCTACTTAACTTTCCACATGGATTCAACTGATACACAGAACGTTTACTCCAACATCCATATCCACCCCCATCTCTCAAGTTCAGGATGGCAAAACCACACAAAAATAGATTTATGGGTCACAAAAGATGATACTCTGAAGGTACAGGTATTTTAAGAAGTTTTGGAGTGAATAAGTAATCTGAAAAGAAATTATACCAACACTATACAAATTTGAGGGTTATTTTAAAATTTTACTCCCACTAAAAGTAAAAGCAGGCTGAGGATTATTCAACAACTGTTCTAGACATGACTTAACTTTATTTGATTCTACCAAACAGCCCCACTTATTTTCCTTAGACCTTCTGCTCTTAATTGCTATGCAATTCAAATGCTGGAGCAGCAGTCATGTGCAGATCTGTAGCAGTGAGTGTAATCGGTTACCTTTTCATAGGCATACTGCTCCTGAAGCATCATGGGTAGCCGCTCCAGAAATGCTCTCATGCAGGGAGCCATATTTAATCCCAGAACACCCTGCTGTTTCAGTGCTGTCCTACAGGTTGCTAAAACATGATTGGCGGCAGCCCATTCTGCTGTACAATTCACGACCAAAACATCCTGTTGGAAAACAAATCATGCCACATAGTTATTTAAATAAAAGATAAAAGAGAGATCATTCTATTACCATTCATATCTGAAATCCTTCCAGTTATTCCATTAAACACGTTTGCTTTTTGGACATTTTATGCTGTACCTTTAATGCTTATCGACTTCAAAACAACCTAAATTTTGCTAAGTAAAAACCAGTGAATAGGAACCATAAAATCTGTGAGCTACCTTGGCTTTGCTGATGCTCCTTAAAGAGACAACATTAATTCTTTGCTGTTTCATAGGACTTGCAGGAAAAGGTACCCAGTATACTTCCAAAGTCTGACATGACCACAGGGGTACTATAGGAAGGAGTACTCTGTCTGCTGAGGGACACATCTACAGGACAAGCAGCTCGGCTCTAACTGTGGCTCTATGATTTATCTATAAAGGCCACTACTGCCTTGGCTCTGAGTCTGTATTTTACTGTTTATACAGGTTTAGAGCTCAATTTTAGTTATCTTTTACCTACATAAAATATAAACCAAAGCAGCACATTGGCTCTATTCATTAAGGGTATGAAGAGCAAGACTGCAGGAGATAATGTCATCTCTGACTTACTTCGCAGAAAGGGGCTAGTATGCATACACGTATACATATTTGTGTGTGTGCGTGTGTGTATGCAGTAAGTATTTTTTTAACTAGAATATTAAATTTGAAAGTCAAGATACATTTTGTATACTTGAGTTAAAGGTCTTTGGGGTGGTCCTGTGGTCCTACTTTTTAAAGAAAATTCTTTTGAGACAACTTACTGTTATCTCAAAAGTCATGGCAGAAAGTAAAAATCCACTTTATAACTTCCAATGGAACTTAAGTCGTTTGATGATTAGGCATTTCGCCAAAATCCAGGGTATGGTAAGAAGAGTACTAGATTATAAATCAGGAGGCCTGGGTTCTAGTTTTCCTTCTGTCACAAAATAGTTGTATTATCTTAGGCAAATAATAATCCCTCTGGATATGAGTTTTCTCCCCTGTAAAGCAGGCTACTTAGACTATGATTTCTAAGGTACCTTATAGACTTATCCCCTACGATTTTAGAGAATTGTAAAAGTACCTTCGATCTATTTGAGCAAGCAGCTACCCCGACATCTGGAATCCATACTGTGGTCTGAATAGCTCCAGAGCCTATCACTACAGTTTGCAAGACAGAGCCATCCTAAAATGAGAAGTAGTTATATCAGTACATATTACTTAACCTTAGTCATTATTTACATTTTTTTTTCATTTTATTTTTTAAATTTACATCCAAGTTAGCATATAGTGCAACAACGATTTCAGGAGTTCAGGATTCCTTAATGCCCCTTACCCATTTAGCCCATCCCCCCTCCAACAACCCCTCTAGTAACCCTCTGTTTGTTCTCCGTATTTAAGAGTCTCTATGTTTTCTCCCCCTCCCTGTTTTTATGTTATTTTTGCTTCTCTTCCATTGTGTTCATTTGTTCTGTGTCTTAAAGTCCTCATATGAGTGAAGTCACATGATATTTGTCTTTCTCTAATTTCACTTAGCATAATACACTCTAGTTGTATCCACATAGTTGCAAATGGCAAGATTTCACTTTTTTTGATTACCGAGTAATACTCCATTGTATATATATACACCACATCCTCTTTATCCATTCATCCATCGATGGACATTTGGGCTCTTTCCATACTTTGGCTATTGTCGATAGTGCTGCTATAAACATGGGGGTGCATGTGTCCCTTCGAAACAGCACACCTGTAACCCTTAGATAAATACCTAGTAGTGCAATTGCTGGGTTGTAGGGAAGTTCTATTTTTAATTTTTTGAGGAACCTCCATACTGTTTTCCAAAATGGCTGCACCAGTTTGCATTCCCACTAGCAATACAAAAGAGATCCTCTTTCTCCGCATCCTTGCCAACATCTGTTGTTGCCTGAGTTGTTAATGTTAGCCATTCTGACAGTTTGTGAGGTGGTATCTCCTTGTGGTTTTGATTTGTATTTCCCTGATGATGACTGATGTGGAACATTTTTTCATATGTTGGTTGGCCATCTGGATGTCTTCTTTGAATTTTTTTTTTAACGTTTATTTATTATTGAGAGACAGAGAGACACAGAGAATGAACAGGAGAGGGGCAGAGAGAGGGGGAGACACAGAATCTGAAATAGGCTCCAGGCTCTGAGCTGTCAGCACAGAGCCCGATGCAGTGCTCGAAATCACAAACTGTGAGATCATGATCTGAGCCAAAGTCGATCCCCCAACCAACTGAGCTACCTAGGCGCCCCTGGATGTCTTCTTTGGAGAAGTGATTATTCATGACTTTTGCCTATTTCTTCACTGGAATATTTGTTTCTTGGGTGTTCAGTTTGGTAAGTTCTTTAAAGATTTTGGATACCAACCCTTCATCTGATACGTCATTTGCAAATATCTTCTCCCATTCCGTTGGTTGCCTTTTAGTTTTGCTGATTGTTTCCTTCGCTGTCCAGCAGCTTTTTATTTTGATGAGGTTCCAAAAAGTTCATTTTTGCTTTTGTTTCCCTTGCCTCTGGAGATGTGTTGAGTAAGAAGTTGCTGCAGCTGAGGTCAAAGAGGCTTTTGCCTACTTTCTCCTCGAAGATTTTGATGGCTTCCCATCTTACATTTAGGTCTTTCATCCATTTTGAGTTTATTTTTGTGTATGGTATAAGAAAGTGGTCCAGGGGCGCCTGGGTGGCGCAGTCGGTTAAGCGTCCGACTTCAGCCAGGTCACGATCTCGCGGTCCGTGAGTTCGAGCCCCGCGTCGGGCTCTGGGCTGATGGCTCAGAGCCTGGAGCCTGTTTCCGATTCTGTGTCTCCCTCTCTCTCTGCCCCTCGCCCGTTCATGCTCTGTCTCTCTCTGTCCCAAAAATAAATAAACGTTGAAAAAAAAAAAAATTAAAAAAAAAAAAAAAAAAAAAAAAAAAAAAAAAAAAAAAAAAAGAAAGTGGTCCAGGTTCATTTTTCTGCATGTCGCTGTCCAGTTTTCCCAGCACCACTTGCTGAAGAGACTGTCTTTATTCTATTGGATAATTTTTCCCGCTTTGTCAAAGATAAGTTGGCCATACATTTGTGGGTCCATTTCTGGGTTCTCTATTCTGTTCCAATGATCTGAGTGTCTGTTTTTGTGCCAGACATTTTAAATTTACACACTTCACATTCACAAAAACATTTTAGAAAAAAATCTATATGCTCCAGCGAAATTTAGCAACGTCTAATTATATAGGTACTACCCAATTTTCTGGGGCCTTTTCTAGATGACTTTAAAAATATATCAATAAGAAAAATTAAAGAGTGGAGAATTCTGAAAGGAGTTTCTTCAGTACCCAAAGTATTAGTACACGAAATACTCCTAGGGATGGTTGGGTTAATTTTTACCATATCTAAGTTAATGCATAAACATTTCTTAAGATAAAAATAACATCTGTACTCTTACCCTTAAAGACCAAATGTTCATGAGCCCACCTAGTCCACCAGACACGAGGGCCAACCCATCAGAACTAAAGGCAACAGTCCGGACAGGGGTGATGTGTCCCCGCAGCTGATAAACACATTTGGCTCCGGCTGATTTCCTATATCCATCCTGCAATTCATTTTGATTTTTAGCATATATTGAAATTAAAACAAACTTATAGATTCAAGATTTATAATTCATTCTTGGAAATTTTATATTTCAGTAAAAAACTGGGCAAGAGGGAAGGACAACTCTCTCATAGGTTTACCTTGAGAAAATAATAAAATAACAACGTGGTTCTCCTTGGCTCCTCTGAAACTGAGTTCATATTTTTTGACACCCTTCTAAGTGAATTTCCTATTCTTCAAACCGGCAGAAATTACAATTGTAAGTTCCAATTATCCCTCAGAGATAGAAAAATCCTAACTTCTGCTTTTTAATGAGTGTTTTAATTTTTAAATTTAGCTTTATGTAATTTTCATTTTTAGCTCCTAAAATTCATGAATTGCACATGTTGGTTCTATATAAACAGGCTCTTCTTTTTGATGGCCAGTGGTTCTGTCTGTTACGTGGTGTCTAATTTCATGTTTGCATTGTTGCATCTTGCACGTTTTAATTTTTTTAAGTTAATTTATTTGGTGAAGGAGGGAGAGAGAGAGACAGAGACAGAGAACACGAGAGGTGGAGGGGCACAGAAAGAGGATCCCAAGCACGCTCTGCACTGTCAGCATAGAGCCCAAAGCAGGGCTTGAACCCACAAACCATGAGCTTATCACCTGAGCTGAAATCAAGAGTTGGAAGCTTAACCAACTGAACCACCCAGGTGCTCCTGCCTTGCACGTTTCAGAAGTGAGATAGGTCCAAAGGGCTACTCTCTAGTACAAACAGAAAATCAGATTTATCTTTAGTGCCTCCACTTCCACTTCTTTTTCATTAAGAAAAAAATTTTTTAGGGGCGCCTGGGTGGCGCAGTCGGTTAAGCGTCCGACTTCAGCCAGGTCACGATCTCGCGGTCCGTGAGTTCGAGCCCCGCGTCAGGCTCTGGGCTGATGGCTCAGAGCCTGGAGCCTGTTTCCGATTCTGTGTCTCCCTCTCTCTCTGCCCCTCCCCCGTTCATGCTCTGTCTCTCTCTGTCCCCAAAATAAATAAACGTTGAAAAAAAAAAAATTTTTAAAAAAAAAGAAAAAAAATTTTTTAATGTTTATTATTATTTTTGAGAGCAGGGGAAGGGCAGAGAGAGAGGGAGACACAGAATGAAGCAGGCTCCAGGCAGTGAGCTGTGAGCACCTGTCAGCACAGAGCCCAGTGTGGGGCTCGAACTTACCAACTGCAAGATCATGACCTGAGCTGAAGTCAGATGCTTAACTGAGCCACCCAGATGTCCCTCCCAATTCTACTTCTGTATTTTCCTCTCATTAGTGAGCTATTTACCTCTCCCTCTTAACCTCTTTGTTCCTGTCCCTAAGCTCCCTCTTCCTTCTAGTTATGACAGTGTATATTACCAGATGTACTTATTTATCCAGATATAACATGAGGTATTATTTCTTCCAGGGGTATTTGTATCATGAGCAAAAAGAAAGAGCAACAGAAGGTGCAAACCATTAGCTCAGGGATGCCATATGACTGGCCACCAAGTATTTTAAAGAATTTTAAGTCGGGGTGCCTGGGTGGCACAGTCGGTTAAGCGTCCGACTTCAGCCAGGTCACGATCTCACGGTCCGTGAGTTCGAGCCCCGCGTCAGGCTCTGGGCTGATGGCTCGGAGCCTGGAGCCTGTTTCCGATTCTGTGTCTCCCTCTCTCTCTGCCCCTCCCCCGTTCATGCTCTGTCTCTCTCTGTCCCCAAAATAAATAAACGTTGAAAAAAAAAAAATTTTTAAAAAAAAAGAAAAAAAATTTTTTAATGTTTATTATTATTTTTGAGAGCAGGGGAAGGGCAGAGAGAGAGGGAGACACAGAATGAAGCAGGCTCCAGGCAGTGAGCTGTGAGCACCTGTCAGCACAGAGCCCAGTGTGGG